GAAGCCTAGACTTACACACTAAAGCAGAACAGAATCTGAAAAATACAAAAGCTAAAACCTGAGGCATCACCTGCAAGGAACAGTCACCAAACACACAGGAGAATATTTTTTTTCCTCCAGCTGCTGCAGGAAAGCAATGCCAGTTGCCATCCTGGCAGGTACAAGGATGAGAAACCATCAGGTATAATTTATTATTAAAAATATTGTTCCAACAGCAAACAAATCTGGAATGTATCAGGACTTTGCTATAGGCCTCCCAGGGCCAGCAGTGTGGCTGCTGGCCATGCCAAGCATGGAAAAGCCCTGGATTCACTCCATGCCCTTTTCCCACCCAGAATGTTTAAAGGCACAGCTGAACAAGGTGAGCAGCATTTTGTACCCCAAGCTTTAAGGGGAGGTTGATCCTTCTACAAAACTGCATGCAACAAGGCCAAACAGAACTGCAAGGGATTCCCAAGGCTTGCCTCTGCCACATTCCAAGTGATCCCTGGAGTAAGTACTTTGTAAGACAACACACAGCTAACTTAATTAACATGGACCAACTAAACTGTATTTGGCAGTTTCCAACATCTTTCAGTTCACAGCAGCTGGGAGATGCACATCTGCATCAAAACAAAGCCCCAGACACTCAACTCCAAGCCTGTCACTGCTGGCATTCTGACAACTGTACAACCAGTGCTCCTTCTTGACTTTCAAGCTTCCTCCTCAACCCCAGGCTGTGACACCACTCCAAAGTGACCAGATTCTTCCCCAAAGGGATGAAAAGGAGCCCTCACCTTCTGAGGGAGCTGCTGCTGGGCACTCTGCTGCTGCTGCATGACCTTGGGGATGGCAGCCGAGGGCTCCTGGGCTTTGCCCTCCTTGAACTCGCTGACCTTGTGCCGGTAGTAGGCATGGTAGGGGTCGTTGGGGTTCAGGAAGTTGAACTTGGGGTTATTTATTTCATTCTGACGAATTCGAGCTTCAAATTCTGGACCATTTCTGGGGAGCAAGAAGAAAAATTGTTCAGATTATCATCAACTCAAGGGTAAATGTCTCTTTCAGACTGGGACATGCTGAGGCACCAGCCTTGGAAGATCATTTTGTCTCTCACATGAGAGGAGTTTCTCTCCCAGTAGTTGGACACACACAGGTTGGATGCAATTGTTTGTCACCCTGTTTTTTTAAGATTTTCTAAGCCTTCTGATGTTGACATTCCTGGAGTGAATTTTCTCACACACTTTCTGTAAATAACTCATTGTTTTACATTCCTTTATGGAGGAAGAGAGAGTTAATCGACTGTTGGTTTAACCAGTGACATTGCAGAGGTGTCAATGTCACCTTCCAATCCACTGTCACTTTTGTAAAGCTATAAATATTAGAGTCAGAGAATAAAACTTCCCTTTTTTCCCTTCACCTTGAGTGGTGGTGTGCTTGTGTTCTCTCGTGTCCTTCAGCGACAATTGTTCTTTTAATTCTGTCTTTAATGTGAATATTAAAAATTCACACTCAAACTGCTCCACAGTCTGCACCCAAAGGCCATTTCCACCACTGACTGAACTTTACAGTTATGACGTTTACAAGTTACTACATCAATTTTATCTGCTCTATTAGCAAGTTCTCAAGACTAATTTCAGTTCCAGAACCATAAGGGAAAAAAAGCAGTAAACATCAGCCAGTGCAGGGACTGAACAGCCCAGAGTGCTGCATTCAGGAGCCCCAGCCCAGGTGACACCCCCTCCTCCCACCTGAAGCACGAGCCAGCTCTTTCAGAGCAGTTTGAGCAAACTCCCAGCGGCCACAGGGTGCTCCTCTTCAATCCTCTGGATTTCTCCCAGCCTCATTCAGACATTCCACCTCCTCCAAAAGAGGAGGGCTCTGCAATCCCAAGGGATAAACACAGTCCCTCATGCTCAGAAGCAGCCAACACTCCTTGGCAGCACTTTGATAATGAGTTGAGTTACACAATAAGGGTTTGACTGGAGCAGGTTTAGTAATTCTCTGAAACCAAACCCCACATTTTAGCACTAAAACACATCCAAGGCTCCCTTTGCACCTGGAATTTGGTTTCCCCTTCAGATCATTCAGAACTGTTACCCTGTTACCCTGTTATGGCAGCACCCACTGCACATTTGAACAAGGATTTTATTTATTTACTATCAGTTTCTCCAGCAAAGGGTGTCTTACACCCTCTTCAGTAGAATATTGTTGTTTCTTTTCTCAATCCTTAAAATCTTTTATGCAAAACCACAAAACTGGGACCTGTTGCAGCTTCTAGGGCTGAACAGAGCAGCAGGAGGATGAAAATGCCGGGAGCAAGGGACACCAGCAGTGCCACTCACCTGGCTACAAAGCTGGCAGTCTTGTCCACAATATTCCTGACCTCTGGGGGAGGGTAAATGATCCCCACCACAGGCTTGGCTGGGGCTGCCTCCTCTTTAGGCTCCTCTTCTGGCTGTAACAAAGACAATTTCATTGCAAAAGGTGAAGGGGTGTCAGGATCAGGCATTCCAAACACTCCCAATGGCACACAGAAACCTTCATCCACCCTCCTCCTCCTCAGCACTGAGCTGGCTGAAGAATCTGGATCATCCACCCCACCAATTCCTTGGATTCTCAGGGACAGCAGGACAAGGAAGGTGCCTCCATGGGAAGCATAACAATTTTCCTGTATCAGCCTTGACCCCAGGGCTGTATTTAAATGCTGAGCCAGGAGTCTTTTTCCAGGAATAATTCATAATTCCAGGAATAATTCATCATTCCTCACCAGCTGTGCAAGTTCTGTATCCTCCCAGGGGCCTGTGGGACCTGAGTTATTAACTCCACATTAAATAAATCACAATTTCAATGCCATTGTGGTTGCAACAGAAGCTGTTTTGAAGATAAAATCTCCAACAGTGTTTTTCTGATGTTACAGGAGGATCCAAACTAAAATCCCAGAACCTTCCCTGTGAATTGCTCTGTATTCCAGTAAAACCAGGAGCTGCTTTTGCAGGACACTAAAGATGCTGCTTCTCTTTCCTCACCAGGCAGCTTCCAAGAAAAGCTGTTATAAACCAGCTCAGATCTGTTGGAAATGTTTATAATCCTAACCGGGACGGCCAGGGATAACTTAAAATCCAGAGATAACTTAAAACCCATGGAGAATCCAAGCCAGAAAACGATCTCAGAGCAAACTGGTCCCTGGCAGTGCCCAAGGCCAGGCTGGACATTGGGGCTGGAGCAGCCTGGGACAGTGGGAGGTGTCCCTGCCGTGGCTGGGGTGGCACTGGATGGGCTTTGAGGTCCCCCCCAATGCAAACCATTCCATAAACACAACCCTACCAAAGTGTGTTAAGAGAAAGGCACCAGGAACATTTCTAGTTTTCCTTCCCACTCCCTCAGAACATCATCTTGAGGAGCTGAAAGATGGGGCAGCATCACACTTGAGATATTTTATTTAACAGTGATGCCAAGCTGCCTTGGTAACCTCTGTGCATAAAAGGCTCTGGGTTTTTAGGGGGAATCACAACTTTACAAGGCTCTCAGTGAGAGCAGCTCCCTGTCAGCTCCAAGAGTGCTGATGCTGCTGTGTGAGAACCAGGACAGCAGCTCCAGCCCTGGGGGAGGTGAATTCCCATCTCAGGAATGCAGGAGGGATGGATATTCCCATCTCAGGCTGCAAAGAACACGAAATGGCCAAGGGAGAAAGGATCTGGGAGGGAGCTGGGACACACAGCCCTGCCACGCTCCCTCAGACTTTCAATCCTTCCTCACATCATTCCTGGAGCCAGGGCAGCTCCCCCAGC